TGGCTTTTCCCCTCTCACCCTCAAAAGCTGCCCGGAGAGCAAAGACACGTGTCTCGCTTCAAGTACAAGGGTGCACTGCTGTGCGAGAAGGATCCGGAGCCTGGATCCACTCTCCACTCTCCTGGATCCTGCTCCAGCATGCCGGGTGCTGGGGCAGGACCTCTGGCTCGATCAGCTTGAACTCCATGCCCCGGCCGGTCCAGGCGATGAAGTGGGCGTTGGCGGGGTCATCCAGGAGAGTGACCAGGAACTGCCAGAGCTGCAGGGACCCACGGCGCTGGTAGGGAGGGCCCTCTCGGTACAGGGTGGGCTCCTGCTTCACTTTACCTGCCCATGTGAGACACAGCTGGTTAAACACCCTGGCTCTGCCCCTCTCCCCAACTGTGCATCCCCCTCCCCCCCCAAGCAGGGGACACATACAGTGACACTGGGCTCATCCGTGTGCCAGGACCCCCTGTGCAGGATCAGGCCCCAGGGTAGGCAGGCGAGGCTTGGGGCACGTGGTGAGGCTCTGCAGACGTGTGGGACGACGCTTGGCAGCTCTTGAGTGCCATGCCAGCATGGCTTGGCCTTAAGAACCACCCACTGCAGTGCCTGGCCCCAAGTCTCCCTCCATGAACCCTGGTGTCATCCCCCCTCCTCCTCTGGGGCTGGATTCTTACCCTCCAGCCTCTCTGGTACCACGCACGTGTCATCAAAATACAATCGTGTGTCCTTTTCATACGAAAATCCTAGAGGGAAAAGACCCTTGGTGAGCACAGAGCCCCTCTGCAACCCCAGCCAGACCCCCCAGAAAATCCCTGGTGTGGCCCAATCCAGCACCAAGACCCCCAGCACTGGGAGCAGCCCCATCCCATTACTTCAGCAGCATCACACCAGCTGAGGGCCACTCAGCTCTGTTCCCCCCTCACCCCGGGGAGCTGCAGGAAGCAAAACCCTCTTAGCAGCTATATCGGGCGTGTTATCCCGGATTAGGCAGCGTGGCACTGCCGTGCCCTTGCAGGGGCCCATGGCTGCACGGCACAAGGCCCCGGGTTAGCGGCGGTGCCGGTACTGCTTGCATGCGGGCTCTCACAGGCATCAAGGGGTTTTGGCCTCTCTGCCAGCCTGGGGGGGGTCTGCCTGCCCAAGGAAGGGATGCAACGGGGCACACCAGGGATGCCCACGGGTGGGAGGAGGACAGGGGTGCACTCACCGTCATGGCTGC